TGTTCGTGTAACACATAAGATTTAAAAATAAATATGTGGACATTGTTCATTCCCAGCTACCACGAGCATCCAGAAGTCTGAAAATGTTCACATTTACATTGTTAATTGAACTGAGCGAGTGTTAAAAATTTCATACTTCTATGTGGTCTGGAAACATATTAAAATTAAATTACAATATAGGAAAGGTAATTTGGAAATTTTTCCGTTCTCAGCCATCCTGACAACACAAGATGTCTGAAAATTTGTCAACTTGCAATGTCATCGAATTCTAATAAGTGTAGAAAATTTTAGATTCCTACCTGCTCTAGAAGTATACAAGGTAGGATCAAAAAGTTCCCGAACTTTTTTTTTTATTAATTATTTATTCATAATATAGTAATTTAAACATCAAATAGGGGGGTCTGTGGAAGGAGGGTCTAAACCATTGGTTTTCGACCGCTATGACCCGGTTTCGATTCCCGCATTGGGCACTTTTTTATGTTTAAAAGTCCAACCCCACCAGTGAGTGCAAGTAACCAAACGGGGCTCTGGCACATTTGTAAGTGCTAAGTCGAACTGCTTTCCACATGTGTAGACATGTGGTGCACTTACAGTAAAAGCAGTCACCTACTTCTACTCACCATGATTATCATGGCCTGTACCACATGTACTAGGGATAAACAAAAAAAAAACTTTACACAAATTAAATTTCTGGCAATGAGTTTCTTTTAAATATCATCAAATATTATCTCTACAGACCTTAGTGCAATGATATGAGTTATTGAATGAGAGGGCTTGGCTCATCAGTAGTGAACCCTCTCAGCGGTTTCGCCAAATTAATCTCTAGACCGCTCTACTATTGTATTGGACTGGTTTTGTTATATACCCTGCATTTTCTATGGAAGGCAGCTCAGGGGTGTTTAGTGAACTATGGACATAAGCTTATAGGTCTGTAGAGGTGCATATATATAATTTCAAGGTATTGCATCGAGCAAAGCTCTACCGCAAAATATGTTTTCATAACCAATATATATTAGTAAATTAAATTTTATTGCCATCTATCGTTAAAATTTTACACAAATTAAATTTCTGGCAATGAGTTTCTTTTAAATATCATCAAATATTATCTCTACAGACCTTACTGCAATGATATGAGTTATTGAATGAGAGGGCTTGGCTCATCAGTAGTGAACCCTCTCAGCGGTTTCGCCAAATTAATCTCTAGACCGCTCTACTATTGTATTGGACTGGTTTTGTTATATACCCTGCATTTTCTATGGAAGGCAGCTCAGGGGTGTTTAGTGAACTATGGACATAAGCTTATAGGTCTGTAGAGGTGCATACATATAATTTCAAGGTATTGCATCGAGCAAAGCTCTTCCGCAAAATATGTTTTCATAACCAATATATATTAGTAAATTAAATTTTATTGCCATCTATCGTTAAAATTTTACACAAATTAAATTTCTGCAATGAGTTTCTTTTAAATATCATCAAATATTATCTCTACAGACCTTACTGCAATGATATGAGTTATTGAATGAGATGGCTTAGCTCATCAGTAGTGAACCCTCTCAGCGGTTTCGCCAAATTAATCTCTAGACCGCTCTACTATTGTATTGGACTGGTTTTGTTATATACCCTGCATTTTCTATGGAAGGCAGCTAAGGGGTGTTTAGTGAACTATGGACATAAGCTTATAGGTCTGTAGAGGTGCATACATATATTTCAAGGTATTGCATCGAGCAAAGCTCTTCCGCAAAATATGTTTTCATAACCAATATATATTAGTAAATTAAATTTTATTGCCATCTATCGTTAAAATTTTACACAAATTAAATTTCTGGCAATGAGTTTCTTTTAAATATCATCAAATATTATCTATTTGATGATATTTAAAAGAAACTCATTACCAGAAATTTAATTTGTGTAAAATTTTAACGATAGATGGCAATAAAATTTAATTTACTAATATATATTGGTTATGAAAACATATTTTGCGGAAGAGCTTTGCTCGATGCAATACCTTGAAATTATATGTATGCACCTCTACAGACCTATAAGCTTATGTCCATAGTTCACTAAACACCCCTGAGCTGCCTTCCATAGAAAATGCAGGGTATATAACAAAACCAGTCCAATACAATAGTAGAGCGGTCTAGAGATTAATTTGGCGAAACCGCTGAGAGGGTTCACTACTGATGAGCCAAGCCCTCTCATTCAATAACTCATATCATTGCAGTAAGGTCTGTAGAGATAATATTTGATGATATTTAAAAGAAACTCATTGCCAGAAATTTAATTTGTGTAAAATTTTAACGATAGATGGCAATAAAATTTAATTTACTAAAAAAAAAAACTGTTGAAATAACAGCTTTTTTCACACTGGAAAAAATTTGTAGATAACCAAGGCTCTTATTTTGAAAAAATTGATGTTTAAATTACTATACTAGTTCAAAGTCAATTTTTCTAAGTTTTTTTAGCTCCCCTTCGCATTTTCAAATACTTCTGATGACAATGAAAAAGTGCCTCCCTTTTAATGTAATTTTAAGTTTTGGAAAGAAGAAGAAATCACATGGGGCGATATCAGGAGAGTAAGGAGTATGCGGCAAGAAAGATACAGTGTGTTTTACTAAATAGTCTTAAACAATAATGGCTCTATGAGCAGGGGCATTATCATGTAGCAATTTCCACTGTTTTGATTTAAAGAGTTGGTTTATTTTTCTTCTTATTGCATCATGAAGGCGCACAAGTATTTCTTTGTATGCCTTTAGTAATCCCCTCTTTAATAAATTCATAATAGACAAGTCCTTGATAATTGAAAAACACTACAAGCATTACTTTTCCTTTGGACTTGTCAAGACGAACTTTATTCTTCCTAGGAGAACTTGGTGTGTGCCATTCGAGTGATTGTTTTTTGGTTTGTGGATCAAAAAGAAAGCACCATGTTTCATCACCAGTTATTATTGTTTTTAAAAAATCAGAATCATTATTTGCAGTTTCAATTAAATCTTTGCAAATTGATAACCTGGTTTCTCTTTGTTGATCTGTTAAATTTTATGGGACAAAATAACCACAAAGTTTTTCATGTTTAAATGTTCACCAATAATTTTTTGGCAACTACTACATACCAACTACCAAATAATTTTATTTTTACATCATATGTTCAATAACCATATACAGTATATATCTTTTTCAAACTAACTATTCAGGGCAATCAATCAGCTGGTTTGCTGGACCCGCAGCTGCAATTATATCTTCCAAAAGGGCAAGAGGGTTGATGGTATAGATGTCAAAGGAGGGGAGTGGGCCTGGAGTCCCTGGAAGCAGAGATGTAGCTAGATGTCTGGTGTGGGGGTCTGGGTCTTCTTCCCTGGCTTTCTCAAGAGCAGCAGCAAAGGGTGGTTTGCAGCAAGGTTTAGAGGCTCAGGCAGTAGGGTCCTGGCAACAGATATAGCTGAGAGTCTAGTGACCCAGTCCATCTCACAGGCCAGGCAGCTAGAGAGAGTCGAGGTGGCCTCATCTAACTTTAGTAGTGCTGGTTTTAGCAGAGAGTGACGCAGAAGCTCTGCCGCTGCTCTCCTCACCAATGTAGTCTCATCACTCCGGAGAATAATAAGAACTTTCTGTGCAATCTGTGCCAAAGGTTCTGGGGGAGGCAGGTGGCTAAGTGCAGCCCTGACTAATTCAAAGGAAGAACATCTCAGGGAGGAATCTTCTTCTGAGTTTATGGCCAATTTCCATGCCTGTGTTACCATGGGCTCTACCCATAAAGGCAGTGGCTCAATCTTATCACCTGGACATCAAGCCTGTGTGAGATCATTCAAATAAAGTTCAAATAACATTGATTTAAGAACTTACATTTAAACTTTTTATATCAAAGAGTAAATGGTGGGTTACACATTGCTCCCTATCTATAAAATTACCACATATTTTCACCAGGATGAGTGACTTCTACATGATAATTTTGTGCTGAGCTAAATTTCAATGGCCTTTAAAATTTTAGAGCCATTGGTAGCAGCTAACTAGTGAATCAGCAAATCAGATACCTGTACAACAGACAGCCAATCAGAGACTCTTGCCAACTGAGGTGTAAAAAAATACCAGGCTTTATCAAAAGTTTGGTTCCATAAATAATATTTTAATACACATTAAATAACACAAAAACAAAAATATTTATTCATTTAAGTAGAGGCTGTCATTTTTAATAACAGTCAGCCATCTTTTTGTCAGGTTTTCAATTTGCTGACAATACCATTTTCGAAGTTTGTAGTCGAAAAAGTAATGACAGGCAATTTCGATGTAGCCAGGGACCGAAATAATGCATAATCAGATGGCCCAATATCAGGGCTATAAGTAGGGTGAGGTAGACCTTCAATACCCTCCAAATCCTTTATTCTATTTGATGTTAACAAGCTCAATGAGCTGAGCATTGTCATTTTGCAGGATATCAAGTCTTCAAAATTTCATGTACCTGGCTGAGTTGCTCTGAGTAGAGATCTGCACGACAATCAGGAACTCGTAGTGTATAATACCATCCATGTTCCACCCCCTTACAGATAAAATCATTTTATGGCCAAAACGATTCTGTTTAATTACAGGCTTAGCCTCGTGATCATAGCGTATACATTGTTTTCTTGTATCTGGGTTATGAAGATCCTGCAGATTTTCAAACAATCGTTTACAGTTATCGACTCAGCTCTGAGACTGGGCTATAGTCAGGGGATCTTAGGAGTTTTCTAACAGAGTTCGATTGATCGTATCTTTCGATGGTCCAAGTCTACATTTCATGTGTAGATTGCTGTAGGTTGTCCTGATGTGCTGTAGAGTATCAATATCCATCACATGTGATCGTCCTATTCAAGGTTTATAAACAATACTTAAAATTATACCGCATAAGTTTCTTTTCTATGAAAAATCAATATTTATTTTAAAGAGAAATATTTACTATTTCTAACTTTTTTGAATGAAGTATGAGAGGGTGAAAATATGAAGAGTAATGGCGAACGGAAAAATAAAAGTGTCCAGGGGCGGGAATCGAACCCACAACCTTCTGCTTACCGGGCAGGTGCCATGTCCACTAGGCTACCCTGTCCTCAAGGCTGAGATGTCTCCTTCTCTAAATATCTTGAACCGTTTTGAAGCTCTTCTTCTGTTGGCTATTCTTTTCCTTTCCACTTCGCTTATTTATTTTGCCGCCATATATGCATTTAGCTCTTTTTTCCAAAAGAAGTGCAATAATACTCGGAACGTTATTTTGTGATCACACATTCTTTCTACTAGACACTGTGGGACCGAACCTTTATTTATTTAAACTTTATTTATATTGGAATAAATTTAAATAAAATTTTATTTTATATTAGGCTTCGGCTTTGGTAACAAACTTTTGATACAGCCTGGTAGGATTATTGAACTATGAATAATTGGTTTACACATGCATGCTCCAGGAGAGTTTTGTTCTCTGCCTGCTCTTGAAGTGTGAAGATCCTCCGAGCTCAATACTAAAAGAACAGAAAGAGAAAGAAGCAACCCCAACGCTCCAAAGTCGACCTGAAGGTGCTTGAGGCTAATGATGAGCTTCTGGTCTCCAACTACTATGTGGCCCTGCAATGCTTGAACAAGATCATCAAGGAACTGGCACAGGAAGTCAAAACTCTGTCCCAAACTGTAGATGACTGTCTTGAGCTCCAGAACCTCCTGGGGGACATCAAAAACCCCAAGGCTGCCACCAAATCTGAATGGATCCTGCCCTAGCCTCCCATTACAGCCTGTTCCCCCAGCCACCCCTGCTTCCATGAAGCCTGCTGCCTTCCTCACCAAGAGGAAGAAGCCAACCCTCCTGCCCAAAGAATCAATGCTTCTGCTCCCTCCAAGCCTGCCCCTACCTGTGCCACTAAGACAGCTGATCCTAAGGTCCAACTGCACTGTGAGAAATCAGTGGTGCATGCTGTTGTTGCATGGCTGACAACCCACAGACTGACCCCTGACGAGACATCCTGAAGGCTGTCTGCGCTGCCCATCCTCTGCCCTAAGGTGTCTGGGCCTCCCTCCCTGGCTACAAGCAGGAAGGCATGAAGGTCTGCCAGCAGAATGAATTCTTGTCGCGCATCTGCCTCTTCAGGGTGGATGAGGATATACTACCATCTCCCATCATTTCCTGGCCACTCCAGCTGTCAACCAACTTCCTAGTGACAAGGTGGTACATCGTTCGGCCACAAGGAACCTGAACTGCATGGCCTTCATTGAGGTGGACTGGCCACTTTCAAAACTCTGGGAGTGCACAGATGGATCGTGTTTGATGGCGTAATCCTCAACTTTGAAGGATCTGTCTCCTGCTGTGGTTTGGCCACAACTCGGACCAGTACCCCAGTCTCCTAAGTGCTTGCACTGTGGAACAGAAATCTTCGTCCTGCTCCATCCCGAGTCTAAATGTGCTAAGTTTTAGGCCTCTAGGACCCCCCCACTTGCCACTCCTGATCTTCGTCAATCATTTATCATCATCAATTATTTTTAATTTTTTTATCAGAGTTTTTATACACTTTTCTTTGAAAATATCAACCATGTGTATGCTCTTCGAGCTAGAGGCCCTATCAGCATGGTTGAACATTGAAGTCCCAAAATGGGGAGCTCCTTAAATACCCTTTCATGAAATATAAATATACTATTGAGTTCTCCATTTTGGGCATTCATTTCTGGGGTACAGGAAAGGGTGTCGTCAAAAGAGAGAATGCATCTATGAACATGGAAGACTCCCACACCATTTGCATTAGAAGTTTCCAACTCTAACCTCACTAACACCAAATACCTGGTAGGTAGACAGCCATGTTCTATTTGGAAATTGCCAGAATGCCCTACACTAAAAAATGAGAAGGAATCCCAAGTAATGAAAAATTCTATGGTGCAGTTGAAACCACTTTTGCCAAACTAAAAATTTTTATTGACTTTTATAAACAGGTACCTGCCTAAATCTGAAAAAACTCCTTCAAAACGCCCAAAATAAAAATCACCAGAAGCCACAAAAGAAACAACGACTATTAAAAAAAAAAAAAACAACAACAACCTGGTGCCCCAAATATGGTCACAAGGTAATCCTGGACCAACTCTAAAAAAGAAAAGAAACAGCCTGAAAAACCTCAAGAAGCAAAAATAGTTGAAATGGTAATCCATCAAATATAATTCTAAATCATGAAAAAAACAGAAAAATTCATCAAATAAACTCAATGAAAAATTAAATAATGGAACTAGGCCAGCAAAATTGCCTGGTGGCTACTAGGCTTGACCAATCAGGAGTAGGCAAAAGGTGGTTGAAGGTCATTATATGGTAAACTCAGTTTTTAGAGATTTTAACTTTAAGTGATGAAATTTATACTTTTAAATTAAGAATTAACTCTATTAGTAATTTAAATTATTTTGCTTTAATTTTAATATTAAAAATCCACATTAAGGCAAGTGATCCGTGGACCGGTGATCTAAACCATTGGTTTTGAATCACTTCGACACAAGATCAAATCCCAAATAGAGCAATGTTTTCTAATTTCCAATTATTTTATTTCCGAAGCGCTATATCCTGCAAGGGATACTTGCCCCAAACAAGGAGAAAAGTTTATTTACATAAGTTATTTACATTATTCAACGCATGAAAACATTAGAGATCCAGATTTTGTAGAAAGTTTAGAATGTATTTGCAAAATGTGAATTGAACTTTAAATATGATTTTTTATCGAAATCAAATCGTTAAGTTCACAAACAACTAGTTCATTCTTCATTTTATAATCTTGAAATGCTGGGTAATCGATCAGTAGATGTCTTGAAGTTTGTTCCTCAATACCACAAAAGCAACTTGAATCCTCCACTGCCTTTATTCAATTTAAAAAACTTTTGAAATTTCCGTGGTTTTTGTAACAAATTGAGTATTATAAAAATTTGGACTAAAGTATTTAGGGATTTCTTGGGGAAAAAAGCTTAAGAAAGTATTATTTGCTTAGTTTTTCAGAACATTCATTCTTGATTTGAGAAAGGTATCTATAATTCCTGAAAATGTTTTCTAATTGAAAAATCTCTAATGACCTCCATTTCTTGCAAAAGTTTTCATACCACCAGCGAGCACAAGTCACCAAATGGGCTTAGACCAAATAGGCAGTAAAAGCAGCCGCCAACTTCTACCCACTATGATTATCATGGACTGTATACCATGTGTACTTTGGTTAATAAAAATATTTATATTAAGGCAAAAGTATAGAAAGTAACAAGACCAACCTGCTTGATTTAGAAGTGATGTTAAAAGTTCATTACAGCTGTCATGGAGTTCTGAACTGCGGTCCATCAAGATCTCTAGCTGAGTAGGCCAGGTGGTTCCTGGACAATCTCTCAAGCTTCTGAGGATCTGCAGCAGCAAAGGCTCCTGTAACACCACAACCCAAACCTGGTAAGCCAAACACCCTACATCAGAATACCTCAACATGATAAAAACAATATACAGTAAAACCCCGCTAATACGAACCCTGGATATAGCGAACCTTCCCTTATAACGAACCTAAGGCGATTCCTAATTCCATTCCATTGATAATACCATCGTTATAACGAACTTTGCAATTTTTAATATAACGAACTACCCCTATAACGAACCTATTTTAGGTCCCAAAATAAAATCCATTTAAAATACTATACTTATAACAAACTTAAAATTGTAATTTAAAAAAATAATAATAAAACAACCAAATTTTGAGCATGCTTCAGCTGGCAGATCGTGATTTTAAAACAATAAATTTAGCGGCAATGTTTGTTTTCATTTAAATTCTATTTTTGCTGTATGTTGTATATGCAAATGGCTTCCAAAATAAAGAAAACAAAGGCATTCAATAAACAAAAACGTTATTACTTTAAAAAAAAAAGGCCATTTTCAAAACTTTTCAAAGTGAAACAACAGTCAAAATTTCAGAACATGTTAAAATAGAAAAATATTACTTTTATATTATAAGAGATAAAATAGAAGGCTATTAAAAATTGTTTAAAAAGAGGAATCAACGCGGCTTTTGCCATGATCATACGTGTTAGGGCTAAAAAAAAAAGTCCAAATAAATGGGCTCGTGATGCAAAAAAAAAAATTTTTTTGTGCCATGAACTATGGCAATTTTAAAGCCAGCAATAGTTTGTGTGCTGAGAACATTGGATGTTTTCCCACGTGACGCAGCGGAGCGTGACCGTGCCTGCACGGGTGAGTAGTTGTTGTTTTGAACTCTGTATGGATGGATATTAAAACATGGTGGCAGCGATAACTGGATAAAATACGAACCCGTATATTGCAAAATATCGATTTTTGTGTACCTTGGAAGATAATTCAACATGGCTCAGATTCAACCTCCAGAAACTTTTGACTTCTCGACTCCCAACGAATGGCCCAGATGGAGGAAGAAATTCGAACGATACCTCGTGGTCAGTGGAATGAAGAAGAAAGAGGAGGCGGACAAGATCGATTTGTTCATGTACTTGATGGGTGACCGTGCGGATGATATATTCAGGACCTTCAAGTTCGAAAAGGAGGAAGAGGCAACGAAAATTGATTCCGTCCTTGCGGCGTTCGACAGCCACTTCTGTGTCAGAAAGAATATTATCTACGAACGTGCGAAATTTAATTCAAGAATCCAAGAGGATCGGGAGCCAGTGGACGAATTCATCACTTCATTGTACAAATTGGCTGATAGTTGCGAATTTGAGGGTCTTCATGAGCAGTTGATCCGTGACCGAATAGTGGTTGGAGTGAGGGACAAAGCTTTATCCGAAAGAATGCAGTTGGACAGCGAACTGACTTTGGAAAAGGCGGTGAAAATGGTTCGACAGCAGGAAGCCGTTCGACAGCAGCAAGTCGACCTGCAGCGTCCCTCAACAAGCCAAAAGGTCAGTCAGGTGAAGTTCAACTCGAAGAAACAATCACCGAAACAACAGCAGCCTTCGAAGAAGAAGGAGAAGTCAGCCAAAACAAGATCACGATGTCCAAAATGCGGAGGTTTCACCCACAGGGAAGGACAGGCTTGCCGTGCTGAAGGACAAAAATGTAACCTGTGTTCAAAAACAGGCCATTTTGCAAATTGCTGCCCA